TATGCATGGCACATCTTCTGTATCATAACCCAACGGTCACCCCAGGTGTTAAGGCCTACGCGGTGGCTTAAGTATACGAATACGAATGTATAGACTAATTGAAAATACTAGTTGAAAATGTATTGAAAGGTTGGACATAATGATGAGTACACGTACTAAGACTATATTTTAAAGGTAGCAAGACCAGGCCATTGAAGAAACAACAGAGTTGGGCATACTTCTAAGACTGTTCAATAGATAAATAGGTTTTATACTATTTGCACATGTTTACTATAATTTGAAATCACACTTATTTTCTGCTATGAAGAAATATGTTTTGAACTACCTGAACACTCATTTGCAAAACTTATGTCTGTATCTACAAAGGTGGTTGAGCAGCATATGTTATAGCTAGATGTCAAAATTCATCTATCTATTTCTATTACAACACTGGGAAATACAGCCATAACTGCTCGCTCAATTTCATTTTCCAAGAAGCGTTGCTTCCTCATTTTCTGGTAGGTACATACATACCATATATACGCGGACGGCCGTCCATATTCTGTTATTGCGGAGAAAGTGATCATTCGAAGAAATGAGTACCTGTCACTCATTTAGATGACATTATACTAAAAATGCGATCAGAATCTTTTCCTTGCACATGACGCAACGTTGAAGTTATTATGGCATTCATTCATTTCCTGAAGAGGTAAATAATCGCACGACTATCACTATTCATGCTAGAAATCGAAAGTTTTCGCATACGTGCACCATAATGGGTTATAAATTCAACAAGACTTTCCACAATAGAATTACGAGATGTTGGACATACTCGGTCAAGCGCTTCAATGCTGGCTCTACGGCGCGTATACAGTTGGTTTGTTTTCATTTTCCGCATGCAAACGTACAAGCATCGCTCATTCGTGTCAAATCGTAGATTGTCAAATTCTTTCTATACGTTAACAGATATTATGGACTGTTTCCATTCGTCTATTTGGCATGCCATTTTAGTTGCAAGTTAAGAGGGTTAAAACCTTTTCAACTAATCCAATCAATGTCACTGGATCCCAAGTAAGTCTCGGTGGAGGTCTAAGGTTCTGTTGTGGTACATTTTCAACAGTCCAGAGGCTTGAAAATAGGTAATGCAAATCAGATGCAAATTTTATCAGATGATACATAAGAACGGAGTGGTAAATAAACAAAATTGTGTCGGATAACATATAGGTACATATATCTGGACATCGCTACCGAAAGAGAGCAGAGTCCACAGTTCATGGATGTAAACTGGTATTGCAAATTTCTCCATAACGCTATTTGTGTTTTTACTGCTAGCGACAAAAAGAAGCGCCAGTAGACACATTTTGAGCTAACATCTAGATATCCTTGTCACCTTGCTAATTCGTGAGCGGCTTGTATCATACAAGTTTTCCAGTTGTTTGTCGTTTGTCATCTCCAACGCTACCCGTCTACCTCAGGAAGACGACGCGCTGAGCTGCTATAAAGAGGTGTTACAATAGACCAGAGAGTCACAATAGAATGATCCACACTGTTTTTCAAAAATAAGGTCCCCACATTTTTTTCAGGCACAAGGAATTTTTTATAAAAAAAAAAACGATTTATTACGCATTTATTTACGCATTTTTTAGACGTAATCCATTTTTGTACTCCTGCCTCAAGTCCGATACCAGCTGGTTTAGAAATTTGGTGACTCCTTCTTGCAACTCCTCATCCAACTCGCTGTGTCAGAGCTCTAAGGGGGATGGGCAAATCGCTCGATTCATTCGTTTGTTGTGAGACAGGCGGTTGCGCATTGTCACGATGTAGTCTTACGCGTTGGTGAGTTTCCCCCTACGACGGTTTTGGATTACCCATTTCAGCTTTTTCAGAAGCCCCAGGAATTTCAACCGCCTGTTCCCGGATCGTGAGTATCCAATCTTCGAGCCAGATTTGCTCAACCTTCGCCATAACTTCCTCGGAGATCGACGGCCTCCCGCTTCGTTGTTCCTCGTGGATGTCCATGCGGCCGTCAAAGAACTCTCTTCACCGTTTTAGGACATGTTGAATGGTTATACGCATTTCCCTAAATACTTCACTCAACTGGCGATGAATTTCTATGGGTGGTAACTTGAAGGGCTCCATTGCGCATGGCTGTCGGCCAGGTACTGGTACGACGGTGTTGCCAGATTTAGCCTAGCATCACACGCGGCAAAGTTACAACGTTGGGAAACTTATTTTTGAAACAACCTCGTATTTAGATACGTGTAGTATTGAGGTTTGCCTCTTATCTTTTCGGAGGCCCTCCATAGAATTCAATATGCCGTAGATAGTTTAAAAATAGCTAATTATTATAATCGATGTAGACATTTACGTATAATATTTGGAACAAACGAGAAAATCTACTTTTCTAATATATTTCTGTCGGCAGATTAATAACAACAAGCAAGATTTTTGTCATAGGCACAGCCTTGTGTTTGGAACTATTAATAACTATCTATTTTAATTAGTCGAGTTCTAAGTTTCCTGCAGCCTTGCATTACAATGGCCTTTCCATACGAATTTTGTTAACAAATACAGCTTCCACATGTTAGCGGCTGTCAGCGCCTACGTGACACCTAATTCTAAAATTCAGTATTCTAAAGGCCTTTTCACGAAATTGTTTGCACTGCTTCAACTTTGGACCATGTGAGCCATTGGGTTGATTTCTTTTAATATTGTACTATCAAAGTTCCATTCTATCAATAGGCCCAGATCCCATGTGCTGATAAATATATTAGCTGATAGCAGATCATCGTATGATATTTTCTACTGTTATGTATTTGGTGTTGACAGTATTGCACACGCAACAAATCCAATGAACAAAGTCAAACACAGATGGAATGTGTAGGCACATGAAAAAATCTGGCACTTATTCCATGTTTTAAAGTATTAGTTTTTTTCGGGCTTTGACAATGTTTTGTAGCCATTACATTTTAATAAAATCCAGGCACGTTGTGTTTAGAGTTGTCTCGGATCCTCTGTTTGAGGAAATACGCTACCAGGTACATTATTCAGTGCGGATGCCAGGACAAAAATATTTGTGGTTGATGTATGCAATACAAAACTGAACATATATTAATGTATATACACCTTAGCCATGCCTCAGTTGACCCCCTTGACATATATTTCATAATCCATCAACAGTAATTAAAATCAAAAAGCCCGATTCTACTCTTTTAGGTTGAGTTTGCAATATTAGAGCATATTATTCTTTATCTGTTTCAGTCAAACGAGGTATGCATGGTTCCAAATAAAAAATATAATAACTGTGTTACCCACAACCCCTATAGAGAACAAAATTTTTCTTAAAACCGTCACCGTTTTGCAATATAAAAACCGAATGATAGTGTCCCTTTTTAAGAAATAGCTACGTAAGATGTTGAGATCATTATAGGAACTAATAAATTTTGTGTTTTAATAAATGCTTCATTTAGAGCCTATAAATAATGCCTTAGTTAACAACGCATTTTTGGTCGATAAATGTTTGAATAGTTCTTTTGATTACCATATTCTCACAAAGAATACGTTGACTAATTGATGTGTAATTCTGAACGATTTTTTAATCAATCTATGTTTGGCACTTGTGTAAATGTGGATCTTCGTGTCATTTTAATTTTTGTTATATTTTATATTCTTATGGCTATTTATTGACAAGTCTGTGTGTAATTACATACTTCCTTGTATATATCTATGTCTCATATAGAGCAATAGACTATCTATCTACCTAGTAGAACTACAAAATAGATCGCTTCACTCACAAAACTATGATTCAAATTGTTTCATACCTAATAAGTTTGGCAGGTTTAAACCATGCATGCATGCGAGTAGAGGTAAATTTTAGAAATTACACTGACACCACGTAATGCCTTGCCGTGATTTATTTAATTATGTAGCGACCCTATTCTGATGTTGAAATAATGGGTCACCTTCGTAGAGAGTACGCTGGCCGTGCCGATGCCATGCAAAGTTGCTATGCTGACTACCAAAAGCAGTAAAGCGAACGAAATTGGTGCCACTGTCAATGTCGACGAGCGGATCAGTAGGTGAAGAATGCCCAAACTTGACCTCTTTTCCGGAGAAGATAATTCGTTTCGTAACTCGAACATGCTAAATACCCGCTTAATTGCCCCTTGTTTTTTCACTTTTACTTTGGATCGGTGTGGTTATAGGAAATAGCGCGTGGCAAAGGACAAAGATTTTTGATGATTTCCGATAATGGATATCTTGTGGAAGTAGTTCAATACCGATTAAAGCAGGAAGACTAAAAAATTAGTGATCAAGTACAGTTAAATTTACAGAAAAACCACCTTCGAGTTGATACATTCGATTTCATACAAAATAATGTTTTTTGGAGCAGATATTATCATTATCCACGATGTTCTGTGACCGAGAACTCGTTAACACATAAGAAGAATGACGAACTGGAATTATATATGTTTTCCTTGGGTTAAAGTTACACGCTGCTCAATTTACAGACCAAGGGACCATCTAAATTGATCAATTTACACAACTCCGCCGAGAAACGTGAAAAATCAGTACACTACTTTAGAGTTTTTTGTCTTATATCTTCCAAACGAGTGAATGCTCCTAACAAGCACCCTTAGATTTTCGCTAGCTGTCGACTTCACTGAAGGTGAAAAATATCCTCAAATAACCTTTTTGTTATCAGTCTTCCTTGTACTAAGCATTCTGTGAATCTGATACCACAGCATGATAGGTAAGTTTTCAAATTACGTCGTTCTGACCACCAATTTGGCCATCACTTGTCTATTGGAATTTTTTCTTACAATTTTGAAGAATGGATCTGCTAGTTAGTAACAAAACAATAGCTGTGTAGAAATCTTTGTGAATAATGGCAATGCTAAAGATTCATGCATTTTATGTACCAGCTCAGCGCTATAGTGTTGCATGTTTCAAGACCATGATATGGCTAAAATAGCATCTGTAGAAGCACATTGTAAAAACAACATAAAATTAGTTCTTACCTTAATCCTTGTTCTTTCTTCTCTGCACTTCTTCAGGAATGCTAGCGGTCCAACTATAGCGTCCATTCTTGTAAGGAGATTTTTGCCCTTCTTGGCAGCTTTTGTAACTGGTACTGAAACAAGATGTAACGTTAGCAACAATCAAAGTGTAATTGAACATATTGTATAGCCAGTAAGCTGAGGAGTACCTGTAACGAGCACCATTTTTCCAGGGTTGTTATGTTTTAATCAAAATGTTTAAAACGGGTGTTTTAAACATTCTTTAAAACAATGAAGGTATTTTAAACCAATTTGTTTTAAACTGTTTAAATTCAAGTTTTTTTATATTATTTCAAGTATGATTAAAATTGATTTCATTTTGCAAAACGAAACTAAAAGGGCCATAGGTTAAAACACATAGGTACTAAAAAATATAATTTATTTTTTATTAATTAATCAAACGTGAAACTAGGGAACTTAACGAAAGAGTGAACTTAATAAACTACATTGAATAATAACATTAAAAAAGTTATTCAAATTTCTGTAAAAGTATACAACCAATCTTATTTAACAAAAAATCAAAAAATCCTTAAATCCATATTTTTTAAATATAAAATCATGGAAAATGTACAGAGAATAAATTTTTAGTTTTTACTACTTTTAACGGAACTCCAAGTAAAAAAATCTACTTTTTCACGCTTTGATTTAGGTGTTTAAATACTGTCACTAATTTTGCCGCGTTTCTGTGCCCAACTTACTACAAAGTTTGGTGTGGATTATCCCAAATGGGGAAAAATACTCGTACGCGTCTAAGTTACCTTTCAAGGACTTGCACCAAACAAGTGGTGCGAGGCCTTTCAAATTGTCTTGAAATAAATAATCTTTAAATGGTGATGTTTTTGCCTGATAACTTACAATAAAAGGCATCGCTTCAGGATAATAACGAGATGCATACTCAAGATCTTCTTAGCGTTGCTCTAGATGCAATTTAAGCCAGATAGTGTGCTGGAGACATAGCCATATGAAACCTATTTACAAAATGTGATTTCTATCTGAAACAGTGCAATTTTCATTTTCTTCAAAAAGGCAAATAGGTCTATCAAAATTTCTGTGCATTCGCTAATTGTAGTCATCTCGTTGAATCGAATCTAGGGCAATTGCTATTTGTTTTAACTTTACTAAATAGTCCTGGGCATTTATTTTTAAATTTAAATCATCATTTTTTTCCGAGATATGAATATCAATAGCAGCTCGGTTTTCTAAACAAATTTTTGGTAATATGTGCCAGTTCTCTAAATAAGATTCAATAGAGTCAGCTAAAGTGTTCCATCTAACATCTTGTGGCATCACGAGAGCTTTTCCGCCAGATATTTTATTTTTGTCTGCTGCGAAATGTACATTGCGATAGTACTTACTATTTTTTTATGTGTTCTTTCAAAGTGGATACCTGAACATCTTGTACAAATAAATCTAAAATGTGTGCCGAACACCCATAAGTAAGTATATCAGCTACACCTGCTCCATCGCATTTTGCTAGTTCTGCACGCATCCTAGTCATATTTGTAGCATTATCTGTCACAACACTTCTGACACTACAATTATTATCTGTGTAACAACGCCTTATAAGACTCCACTAATAAATTTTACAAGTATTCAGAAGTATGACTTTTGCCTTCACGCACACACTATTGAATCATTTCTAATATTGCTCCAACCACCAACAGACATGCATACTGATTTATTACCTAATTCCTTTTTTATTTCTACTTGTAAAGTTGTGTATACGGTACTAAGAAGTTCGTTTCCTATTTGCTGACGATTAGGTGGCTGATATCCTAGACGCAACATTTCCATTAGCCGCTTAAACTCGGGATGTTCCACTGCTCTAAAAGCACAGTTTGTGGGATAAACAGAACGTGCTACTTGGATACCAATTTTTTTCTTATTTTCGCTACATGTTGTTTTGACAACGAATGGATCCAGTCGCGGTTTTAGTTGCACATCGTCTCTATCTCCTTGTCTTTTCGTCAATAGCGAACAACTGGATAACGCTGAACTGGAAGCGCTAATAACATTGCTGTCAGTATAGTAGGTCTGTGGCGAGCTATATAAAAAATAGTATATAGAATATCTATGTAATCATTGTAATAATTTCTAAAAATTCAAAGCAATTGATTAACAGAAATTTGCTTGTACAAAACAAAAAGTATATATTTCTACGGACCTGTTTTATTCTCAATTCTTATATATTAACATATTCAAACAAAATTTAACAGCAATCAGATATTTCTTACCTTTTTCACAATTCTAGAAGCTACCTAACTTTGAGGAAATAGGTTCAGTAGAAACATCATCATGGTCGGTATCAGAGCTATCTGAAATATGAATATGTATTTTGTTTTTCTAACAAATTTCCTTGTTTAAGTTGTTTACAATTTTTAATATGCTTGCGCATTCTAGCCACCAGTGGCACTATATCCATATTGCAGGTTAAACATTTTGCTCTTTATTTATTTTCGAGCCAGCTTTGGCATCAGTCTCCTTAAAATGTTTCTACACGGGATCCTTTCTCCTCCCTGTCATTGCCTTTCTTTTTTTGTCGATCTTTAAGGAACAAAAACAAAACACACTACCACGCTACGACTTCGCACATTTGACTGCTGGAGATCGCAACGCGAAAAATTATCCAAAGGCAAACGGTACTTCCCAGACGTCCGCACGGTAGTTTCCCGACGCGACGTCTGCTTGTAAATTAGAGATGTGCTCTGATAGAGCTGGACCAAAAATAGTAATAACACTTTCAAGGAACTTCATTAATGTTGCTAGATTATATAGGCAATAGTTTTTTATTTTTTTTTACTGTTTTAAACATGTATTAACAGTGTTTTAAACATTTTTTTTTTCAGCTAAATTTGAATCTTTTAAACAAATTTGCCGTCATTTTAAATATGCAGCATAAAAATTGTCTCAATTTTTCATAACGACGACAAAAAGTGCGCCTGAAACCTTGCTATGCCTTGAACTGGTTTGCCAAGAAAGCTAGAATTCTCACAAATGAGACAGAAAGACGCAACAGGTGAGAAGCACAGACTTTCCTATGTATGCACACCAAATATCTAGCCTCTGATAAATACGTTTTGTTCTCAATGTTCTTTTTTGAATTTATTAATTATGTAAGTACCAGATTTGTTCAATGAATGACCGGTATTATAACTAAACCAAAGGCACCATAAAACCTAGGAATTAAGCTCCGAATCAAGGTATGGAAATTTAGCCGAAATAATGAATTTGAAATCTCGCAAATGGTTCGGTTATTTGAAATGAGGTGAAAGTCTCGCATTCAGAATTCTTAGAAAACGGTACTTAAAAATAACTAATATCCAAGTATTTCCGGAAAAAACTCAGAAAAAATCTCCATAAAGTCGTTTTTTATTTTTCCTTGATATGTAACTTCAGTGGAAGCTAACACCGTTTTTGAATAATATGCACTTCTGTACTATTTACGCACTTGTTCTTATCAACGTTGGTGCACTTTTTTTCTCTGGGATATGCTGAGAAAATTATTACAAAGTTAGTATTACTTTTGAACCAAAATACCTTCCTCATAATTAGTGGACTGGAAAGAAAAGTTAAGCAAAAATAAGACAAGCGGGTCAGTTGCATATATCAAAAAAGTAGTCACTGAATCTCCAAATAATCATCCTGCACTGGCTTAGGCCCGTATCGTCAGTCGTCCCTACAATAATTGTAGGGCGCGTTTATGGCCTCCTTGATTGTCATACTGCTTTCTCTCATTCAAAAATTTCTAGATTACACTTGTCCCGTGTCAGCGTCTGCGCTCTCCTATTGTGAAGATATGTTTTATTTTTAAATTGTAGGAAATTTCCGGCTGGTAAAACATGATATACTATAACTCAAAAGCAAGCACAATTTGATGCAAATAGATGTTTATCACATAACCTCAAAATAGAGCGCTGACACGGAGAAGTAGAAAACTATGACAATCAAGCAGGCCATAAAGGCCCCCTACAATTGTAGGGACGACTGTCGATACGGGCCTTAGCTCCTAGTTCCCGGACGATGGCACTTTTCTTGATTTAGCGATACACCGACATTATTGAATGAATCTTGCAAGTGATGTGCCAGTGGAAAATATTTTTATATTTTCATAATTAGCCTTGATAATATCATAATATCATACAGAATAAGGCAATTCTTCACTTTTTGAAAACCGTGTTATCACTACTGCATTTATAGTGTTAAATAAACGCAGTTTAGCAATACCGATCTATGGTACATTACTTCTGTAAAATTGCAATATGGTATCCATAAGGAAATTAACAGTTTTCGAAGAAGAAAGAGAGAAAGGACATTCACAAGTTTGTAGTTAAAGGCTAAAGGCATTCCAAATTTTGTATTAAAGTATTTTTTTGGCTGTAACAGACCTAAAATTTGCAAAGGAGGAATTTTATAAGCAGGAAATGGTAGTTAAGAACGGATTCTGCGACAGAGTTGGATTAAGTTTGTATGAAAGTCCACAGTAAATCCAGAATATGGTAGGGAGGTAGATTATAGGGAATATATGCCTGATAAAAACGGATTTTGTGAAAGGGAAGGATTAAAGAGGATAAAGGTGTTTCTTTGAAATTCCTTGGATTTTCTGCTAGATACCTAAAAATTCGCGATAACGAGATAGTTTAGACTAGATTCAAACTAAGAATGGATTTTGTGAAAGGGATCTTATCTCTATCAGGAACAAAAACAATATCGTTTAAAGAAAGGTAAACATATAATATTTTATGTTTACGAGGGCCAACAGAGAATTACTTAAAACAGTGCTTTACATTACGATGTATCTCTTACCATTTCCAAGATCCCAATGGTGAGAGCCGAATTTGAAGTGTCCGGTACAATCTACATAGATCAATGACAATGTCTTGAATATTAAAAACATAATAATACCAAGAATCACGTTATGTACGTAGGTTTTTGCCACTGAATCAAAATATATTTGTTTCTTCTTAGTATTACATTTCTAAACTTGCAAAAGCCTATTAACTTTGCAGCAGATTCCCGCATTTATTTTAATCTAAGTCGCCTGAATTATATTTATATGTTATGCAAAGTTATCGTCAGATTCCATTAATATTTTATTGTCAGCGTGTCCTTCTACTTCACGAGGAAGTACTTAGAAATGGAAAAATGAAATATCAGAAGACCGTGAGCTGGAAAGCATATTTATAGTTGTAACCTACTGACTTGATAAACACGCAATAATCTAATGACATGCACTTGACATATTTCTAAGATGCATTCACTGTTGATAGCGGATTACGTTAAGCTAGATAAATTCAACTTTACATTGCAAGCTAAATTACGCTCCATTTTGAATCTAAATACTTCATTCATGACTAAAGGGAGGGACTCATTATTGTAACGTCACATGACATCATGATTTATAGTAACGTATCAAAATCAAAGGATTGACAAAAACACGGTAGCCTGGGGTAACAACAGTACATGTAATTTTTATTGTATCCCAATCTATAAATGGTATCATGCAGTGGGGGAGGTGTAATTAAATAAATATTTGTAAATATCTTTCTTTGTGATCTACATATCATGAGTTTATCAGAACGCGCGAGTTTGCGTGACAATTCGCGAGTTCCCGTCACGTGGAAATAAATTCCCGTGTTTATTGCTTCAGTGGCATGCCTTTTTCATACTGTTTTATCACTGATTATATACTCGTGTACCTAACATCTCTACTTACTCAATCTTTTGAATTTATAAATAATTTAATTTATACGCACAATCTGGGCAGGACACCAATAGCGTCAAAATGTTACTAATTATTCATGACAAACGATTCCAACCTTCACCTACTTTTTGGAATGTGGAGTGATTAATATTGGCAAGTCGGTGACTTCGATATATTGATTTATTTATATCATCGATTGTTTCATTTTTTAAATTACCGAATAAAGAACGAATCCGAAACTTTCGGATTCAGTTATTTCTTTTCAATCTAAGGTCCACTATGGTTGACAATCTGACATAAAAATCCTACAAAATATGGCGATGGGCAACGGTGACAAGTATAAAGATCA